AATATTTTTGTTTACGTTACAAGATCTTTCTAAATCGCCAAATAAAATACTAAATGATCGGTGAGTAACATGACTTTCAAGCTAAATGACTGGATAATCCGCTACTAAAGTAAAAATTTTGTCAATCTTTATACAAATCACGTGAATCCGACTTAACGAGAGTCATTTACTACTATCTGGCTGGAAGGTTGTCCGACTTACAGCTTAACGAGAGTTTATATATGTCCGACTTATCGAGTTTCACTGTGTATCCTAGTTTTGTTTGATGCATTCGAATATCATCCAATGATGAGGCATATCTGGTAATACACCAACAGATTTGATAACAATTCGGCACTACTACTACGTGCCTTATTATTGGATGCTTTGGTACCCCAAAGCATAATTTTATATATTTATATCTTTCTGTAATAATTATACTTTGGATAACACTTTTTTTCGATATCTATTTGTATGTAATCCCAAAGCACAATATATATCTTCTGTAGTAATTATACCTTGGGATAACAACCTTTAGCTAGCTTATGTTGAGACCTAAATCATACTTTTTATATATTTCGAGATATCATTATATCGAAAACTTTGGGATAACACTATATCGAAAACTTTGGGATATCATTATCAAACATGTATCAAAAAACATGAACACTATGTATAATCAGAAAATGAAACTTTGAGGTATCACTAATTCGAAAACTTTGGAGTGTCACTTTTTTTGATACCTTGAAGTATCATTTTTATTGATACCTAAATTAGGCAACATAAAAATGGTTATCGAATACATACCGTATATATAGATGCAAAGTATCTATTGAACTTACCTGAAATTTCAACGAACAAATTCTCGCTCAAAATTATGCGACACAAAAACCCCTTTATATGGTGTAGATATCGAAGCATTAATTTTTTATTTGAATTTTTTCTTATACTTATTGTAAAAGGTGACAAAAATCCCTTTACCCGGATATATAACTAGCTAAATGTAGCAATCTCTCTGCTCCGAAAATTACTACTCAACTAGATTGTATTATCTTGAACAACAGTTACGCATATTCAATGAGGGCCAAAGAGCAGTCTTTTTTGTATGGAGTAATAGGAACCTTCATTTTAGCCTCAAAATTTCGTTTATATTCCAAGAAAGCGACCTCATCCATACTCTCGCGCTCTTTTTTCCAATAATTTTGATTATCCCGCAATTCAAGGCAATCTTGGTTCGCCATTGTTCTAGCTTTTCTTGAGACATTCGAAATTTTTCTTGTAAATAAAAGATAAGAGTATCAATATCAGATTCGTTTTTGATAAGATATTCTGAAGATAAAGAAATTAAAGATTCAGGTATTTTTTTCTTAGTTTCAGTAGTGTTTGAAAATTGCTTAGAATCATTTGATTGATTTTGAATTGATATTGAACTCTTTTCACAAACCTTATTACTGGATTTTGAAATGGTGATATCACTAGTAATGGTATAGAATCGAAAAGTTCTTGAGCTTCATCGACCGATTCAGGTTTATATTGGAAGAATTGGATTTGTAGGGCAATAATTAGGATTGTTCAATTTTATAGCCATTATTCTTTCTATAGTTTCAAAACCAGCTCCAATAGGTGCGCTTCCACACTCGCTGATCTTTTGATCCTGAGAGCTTTCGCCCACTCTTGATAGTATCACCGCACCAACTACCCATTACCGCATTAATAAATTTTATTGTAGCATTGAGATCGGGCAATCCTTTAGTTCTGGTCTTAAACTAAGAGTAACAATGCATCTTCTCGAATTTTAACGATTTTTTCCCTTGATTGCTCAAAAGTTTTAGTTACATCATCGCCAGAAAGAATATTCATATCTCTAAAACCTATTGATTGAACAAGATTATGTACCGCTTCCCACTGCTTAGCCGAATAAAATTTATGGAATAGCATATGACTTGGCCTTCTGCTCCTACTACTGTTGCTGGAAATTCTCGTCTTAATTTATTACGGAAAAATTTGCGTAGCTTAGGAGCTGATTATCTCATCATTGAGGCAACGAAAATACCCTTTATTACTGAAATTGTTAGGTTGGTAGAGAATTAATGGAAAAGTAACGAAATTCACGTCACTTCATATAAAAATTCGTCATAAAAATAAAAGTCCGCTTTAACGAAGTTTTGTGGCGGAACGGAGACCTTCGTTAAAGCGGACTTTACCAATTTGTGCTGATCCCTGATTGGCGGATTAAAATCACATGATGAGAACAGATGGGAACAGCAGTTCCCATCTTCATCCCACACACGTTTTATTAATAATAAAAGGTTACGTTGCGCAAAAGGGTTCTAATGGCTTTTAATAATATAAAAAATTTTTTGTAAAGAATAACACTTGAAATTTTGGAGTGAAAAGAAAAACAACGGAACGGAAAACGCGAAAATTCTCACGGATTTTTGATTGGTTGATACAATTTTTGCCGTCGATCGGCCTACTGTGTAGGGAAGACATTTTTTATATTTATAATTACAAATGTTCCTTTCCAGTTAACTATATAAGTATAAATATCCCTAATCGTTGAATTAGAAATGTCGTCACATTTTCTAAACTTTCAGTGCCTCATGAGCACTCACTATTGGGGCTTCATTACTCCATCGTCAGTTTCTCACTCAAACACCGAAAAGATAACGAAGACTCTTTTCTTTTCACAACTAGATCTAGTAACAATATAATCGATCTGCTGTTTCAAAGCTATTATAAACGGGATCAAACTCAAACACTGAAAAAAATAGCAATGCTTCACGAAGAATTCTTTTTTCACACATAAACTGGATCTATAACGAATAATGTTATTCGCGCGAATTGTGATTTGAGAGATAAACTTTTCGATTTTGAGAAATTTCTGTTATAAGAACACATTTTTGCATTATCTACGGAGAGTTAAGGGAGGACAGTTAGACTACTGTATGTACCACTTAGGGGCTAAGGTTAGACTTATTAATGGGGAAGAACGACCGTCAGACTTATTTTTGTTAGACTTATATGATAAATACGTTGTTTAGTGAGCGAACTGCACAGCAGTCCCTGATATATGTAGATTTATTAAATATTGAAATAGATTCAATAAGCTAGTCCTTAAAAAATGTTTATTATAGTTCCCCGAGGCTAAAGAAGAGACAGACACAGCGTACACACATGCACACACACGCGACACACGCACAGGGGGGGGTTTTGTCCCAAAAGACCCCCTAATTGGACAGTTCTTAAACATGATCTCAAATGTTTGAAGCATTCCTGCTATAGAAGCACATAAAATAAGATTTATTGCATTGTTAGAGAAAGAATGGTAAAATCTTTGTTAGAGGTTGTCAACAATAGTATTTGTAGCACGAAAAATCGATCTTGTATTAAGATGACTAAGATAACATACCATGTATTAAATTTTCTACAGTACGATGAAGTGCTTGTGAATATTCTAAATATAAGACAAATTGCTTTGTCAAATTTTTATTAAAAAAGTCTAACCGCCATTACTTTTTCCAGGAATGTAATAATTATAGAGCATTATAGTGTTTCTCTTTGTCGTTACGATCTTTCTTATGACATGACGACAAACAAAATACCAGGCAAGAACGCCGACAGACCCTTCGTCATTACCATGAAAATAAACGGTCGTAGTTAGCGATCAACTCAAGATAAAAAGAATGTTATAGATAAACACTATATTCCCTACCAGATGGTGCAAATGGCAACGTAAAGAACATAGTTGCTGGACCGAACCAACCGTTCGGTAAATAGAAAACTGGTATAGACCAACAATATATGAAAAGAAGTGTTGGTACTATGAACATGCTTAGCCACAAGAAAGTTGTGAATTTTAATTCAAATCCGGTTTTCATGTATCCTAGTGCCTTTACTGTTCGAACAAGGATTTAGCATAAATAGATTTCCGCAGAATAACACCATGACGATGAAGAAGTTCGATACTTTACGGATCTTATCTAAGTCACTCATTTTGCCGTCAAGTTTTCGTCTTAGTCTTGCCCATTTGGCGAATTGATCCTATGTAATAAAGAATGGGAAGAAAGAAAATCATTAATACAAAATATAACAACATAAACGAGTTCTCTTGAAATAACAAAAAGCGCGTATTCTGGTCAATAATTCTTCTACAGAGATAAAATTTGTAAAAGATATATTGCATTAAAAAAGATTAAGCAAACCTGTGAACTAGTCCGCGCCAATTCATGTTTAACATGCAGAATTTCCCTCTTTAGTCGCCTCTGCTTATGAATAACGTCCGCTTTGAATAGGTTAAGGTATATGCCATAAGCCTTATTTGGGTGAAGACACGAGTGCAGCCAGTAAGCTATAATAGATCCGTCTAAAGGCCACTAAAAGCTCCACCTTCGATCACATACCCAACTAGCAACAGCCTTATAACCGATGTACGGAATTAGTTCCGTGAAAACAACAAGAAACACGATAAAGAGGGCTAAGGCCATTGGGCAGGTTTTGACACACCGTGTTTTATACAATTATTATACAATACTAAAAATATTGTTCAGTAGAAGCCAAAACGTGCGTGTTACCATAATTTGTGCTCATGTGACCATGCAAATACTGGATAATATGCGCTGATTAATAATCTGAAAGTTCCTCGCGATAGATTAATAATCTGATTTTGTATTAGTATAGTTTGCCGGTACTTAGAGGAGGCAGATGTTTCTGAGCTGGGAAAATCGGTAATGGAGTTTTGGCAGGGAGGTCGGTGGAAAGTTCAGGAGTCGAAGGCAAGTCCTTTTGCATTATGTGATGCGATTCCTGCCCGGCGAAACTATCTTGAACTTTATCATCAACTAGCTTTAAAATAGAATTTGCACTATAACGATAAGTCGTGATATACTTAATTTTGTCTATATCTAAATTAGCAAATAATGTATATATTCTTACAGTTTTCTGGCATGAAATTTCTGGAGTTGTAAACCTATGTCTTCCAATATTTTATCATAGATTATTCCCTTTTGCCTTTTTTTCGCCAATTTTTCCTTTACCATTTTATATAACTATTCTAACCTTAATTAAGATCCTTCTCCATAATAATACCAGCGTAAAATCTCTTCCTGATTAGCACGAATCGCGCCAGATTTCAGCAACAGTTGCTTTATCGAATAATTTAGCTAAAGAAAACAATAGAACTGTGGGCAGGGAGGCGCAGATGTAATCTCATTGGAAGGAGTAATTTTGACACCCGATTGGGTATCACCCTGAATGCCGTCAGCTATTAACTGTGCGATTTTTCCCGCATCTTTCTTCCTATGACTGTTTTAGCAGGGTCCCCCGGCTGAATTTTCGGACTTTCTGAGTTCCGTGAAGAAATGTCTGAAGATAGTTTGATCTCGAAGTTTTTTCCTTAGTGTTCTGGATTTAATTATCCAACTTCCTATTTCGGATCCCCTTTCTGCTGGTGAGTATATTCGTTGTGACGATAATGCGGAATATGAAGAAGAAGCAAGTGTTAAAGATATTGCTGATGTTGTAAGAGGAGTGGGAGCGGGAGATGAGTCAGACTCAGAATTGAAAGAAGAGGTTTCCATCAGTAATGCAATAGAATGTATCACAACGCTTGTCGATTTTATTAATCAAAATGATTTTGAGATAGACGCTAGTTGTATATATAGTTTGAACAGGTTGAAGAGAGAAATAGTTCTAAAAAAGTTAATGCAAAAGAAACAAACGAATCTTGATCACTTTCTCGTTTTTGATTATTGATGAATACACTTTTACATTAACAAGCTTAATAAATATTAACTAATAAATAAAAACCGCTTTATTGAACATTTTTTGAGTTTGCTACATCGGTTTCCAAATAAAACGGATTGTTACGATATAACGGATTTTATGTCTGCACCGAGGAATCCGTTATATCGACTTTCACTGTGTAGTATCCCCCATAGTTCAAACTCTGGCACCTGCAGCTGGCTGCTCTGGAGATAGAGATCCCAGGCAATAGCAAACACACAGTTTGTCCAAACGTGCAGCTCCCACAATCAACTGCATACTGACATCAAGCTGCACATCATCAACATTGTCTTGCCCTGTCCAGGACCTCCTGCTACTACTACTACTGGGTGGCATACAGTGTAAGATGATCACACTGCACCAAACAAACACTAAAACATACACACAGACTTTGCAAGCACTTGCTAATACTAAGAAGGGCAAGCTCAAATCTTATTCCATTAGACATTGAAGAATGTTATTTGAAGCCTGTATAGATGCGATGGTCGCTTCATGACAAGAATGCCTAGTAATAATACATTGCGAGAGAACAGGCAGTAAGAAGTCAACTGATGTTGAACCCTTTGATGAAAAGCCTGGAGAGACGATAAAAAGTTGATCTCATACCTGCCCGATCTTGGAAGAATAAAACTCCACAGTGTTTCAAAGTGTTATGAATAGTCAATACACGACTACATTCCATGGTATGGCATCGTTACGGAGCCGTAAGTTGTATGCTGCAAGTTTAAGGGCATTCCCACAAAGGAAATAAAATTGCCATATACAAGTGTGTCAGCCACATCATATCGACTGTGTGGAATAGTTTTCATTCTTAGCCTTTGAGGCCGATCCGCAATCTTTTCCAAGTCTGCTCTTTTCGCCTGAATAAAGTCAGATACACCTCATATTAAGTAACAGCCGCAGAATGTAAACGAAGGCCAAGAATTGCGAGCGTGAACAAGTCCCGTCATTATTATATTTGATGTGCGGAACCACACTCCCATTTTTGCACACCTAAATTCCCTTCTCCAACGCATATACTTTAAACCCGAGTTTTTGAACGGGGTGTTCCATCTTATAAAGCAATTCTCGATTTATAGAAATGGAAGTGAATTAGCAAAAAACAAATAACCAAGACAAATTCATAGAACAAAGAATACCGCAATTGCGACATGAATGGTTACCCTAATATCATAGTCCATCCCATAAGTAAGCGAATATCTCGACATCTGAACCAATTTATTCAGCCTCCAAACTTATCTTCTGTAGCAGCGTTTGAATTCGCTCGTCTTTTTACCCATCCGATTTCGCTAGTATACAACATTGACAAATTATAATGTCATCCGTTGATTCACACTCTAAGGTGCGGTGTCAATAGTGATCAAACGGACGTCCCCAGATCCCAGCCCAAGAGGTTCGCGTGCACTCGAACAAGACATACTGAGTCAGGAGACGAGCGTATTTATAATAGCAAGCAATTCTCGTCCGATTTCTAAAGATTGGTTCCTAATATTACTTTTGTCATTGGACAAAGAAACCGAAGCAGTCACATTCCCTCGTAGAGCAATTTGCTGTTCTGATTGTTTTCATCCTTTGTGTAGCTAGAGTTTATACCATCTGTATTCCACTTGTCAAACGTATTCAAGCAACACAGATCATGCATGACATACCAGACTTTGAATTCGCAAATAATCCTCAAGAATGCATTCGAACCATTTTCCATTACCGAATGCCGAGAGAGCCCCCTCCCGTAATGACACTCTTGAAGCACTATTACCAGACAGGAGATAAGAATATCGAAGTAGAGAATGACCCGCTTCCGCTTGAGTAATTGATGGGTTATTGCGTAAATTACGCTTCTTGTCAACGTTGAGTATTACTGTTACTTGTGTATAGTTGTTGCAATCTAATTGTAACGGAAAGGCATTTTGCAACAGTGACAAGCCCGGAAGTTTGCTCACTTATTACTATCAATACTGCAATATAAGCGACTGATCAAAGAATATACAGTGGGAATAAGTAACTTTCACGCGAATGTCAGTGTACCGACGTAGCACAAACGCGGATCAGGCGAGATGTCACACAACTGGATATGTAGGTGTCAGTTACTATTAATACACTATGTTCCACCGCAGCAACACAAACTTTGCGTGAGTGGCACGCCAACATTCTTGGCCACTTTGCAAACATGAAAGCACAAAAAACTCCATGCATGGCGAAAGATAAATATTGAGACCCGGGCTTTCGACAAACGCAAATGCAATTATAATTATTAATCAGTTCGTTATATTTTGATTTAAAAGAAAAGGACAAAAGAGGGAAACTTTCTACCAGACACAATGGCTTCCTTTCTACCTACGGAAATCCTTCTCAAAATCTTCTCTTATCTACCTGAGCAGTCAGCGATAGACCTAGCTACTGTATCAGATCTTCCAAATTCCCAATCCTTTTCAAGTTCGCCGTTGCCATTACCTATACAGCGTCATTTGTCTCGCTTAACGGACTTGTTTTCTTGCATGCTGGTAAATCACTACTGGTGTCAGAGCGTAGTCACTTTTATCTGGAGAGCACCATTCCATGGATTGTCGCTTCCAACGGATACGCTATTAGCTAGGCAGATCGTTGGGGTTTATATGAGTTGTCTGGACGAAGAAGATCGAAACACCATTTCGCAGTTTGGCCTAGTTTTGCCGAAGAGTAAAGCGCTATTCAAGTATTGCACATTTCTAAAAGAGTTGGATTACTGCGCTATGGTTTTGGGAATCAAATCATGGATGGAGCATGCGTCAAGGCTGTATAGAAGGAAAGCAGCGCAGAACCGTTGGTTCAAGGATGACGATAACAATGACGATGAGGATGGAGATATGGTTGCACAGCTTACCTACACCATGTCATCGTTAGCGCTGTCTCGATCAAACGCCAACCATTCGATTGTTATAGGCGCGTTATTGCGTACGTTCATTAAACAAAAAGTTAGGATCATAAATTTGATTATTAGATCGAGGGAAACAGAAGACTGGGACGATGGTGGTACATATGCTATCTTGTTAGCTGAGAGTCATAGGGAGTTTCTTGCACCTTTGAGGGAGTTGAGAATTTTATATAATGGATTTGTAAACGCTTCGCGCGAAAAATTATTTACTGGATTGTCGACAGCTTGTAAAAATCTGGTAAGACTTTGCAGGTCGTGATGGTTCTATGTTCAAGTGTACAGCAATGGTTAACACGATTCATTTGTATGCAGAAACATATTCGCATAAATATAGGATGTCCAGGAGGAAGCGAGTATACTCGTGCTAAGGAAGCAAAATGCGTAACTGACTTGATTAGATCGCAAAATGCCCTTAATTCTTTCTATCTTGGTGAATGCCCGCCGAAACTTGTATCTGTAATAGAACCCGCTCTTTCATCTCAATCAGAGAGTCTTATATATGTAGTGTTTGCGAACGTTGATTTTGCAGGGTCTTCGTTGACGGCACTTGCTACTTGTCTTGAATTGAAAATGCTAAAAATCATGTATTGTAAAAATGCGTCGACGAAAGTGTTTGGACCGGTGATGAAGGCGGATTTTCATAAATTACGAGATGTACGGATAATCGGATGGGCTGAGCCAAAGTTACAATATTGGGCAACTTCTGTGTCGAATAAGGGGAGTATACTCTATGGTAAAGCGAGCTGAACTCCCGATGTTATTTAATCAAAGTTGTAATATAGTATAATATAATATAATGATTTATTGCCACTCTTGGATGACAATCTTTTAATAAATATTAGTTCCGGTTCAAAAATTGAATCCCGCGATATATCGAACTTGCTTATTATCTCCGCTTACCATGGCCATATTCCTACAACGCAGAGTTTATGCTTCTCTTACTGCAACCAAACCTCGGAATTTCGACACTGCTCAAAACCGATAACTCGCACAAGTCAATACTCTTTTTTAATACCCGTGCAAATTATATATAGAAAAGTGTATGATGCTGTACTGATTAGCCTCAATTGTCACAGAAAGAAGAGGGACAGTTGCTATATTCTCCCACTTCAATAATATGACTATACTGAGGAAAGTATATCCTCTGCGTCAAGCTAAGCATTCAGATATCGATATTAATATTAATATACCTACTTGTTGCAGTCATTAATGGGTGAGAAAATGCCACATAGTACTACACACATAATTGTAGTTAACTGACTTTGATTCTGCTTACAACCGAGTGAGAGAATTTGAATAGCGTCATCAATGATATTATGAATTGCCAAACTATTTGATATCAATGATAATAAGTATTCTTTAATTGGAACAATTATTTAATGTTAAGACATCCACTCGAAAAAACAACGACAAACCATACAGTTATTGATTTTCCAAACACAAACAATGAACTTCAGTCTTATTGTCCATAATTTTGATGCACCGCAAATAGACATTTTGTTACATATAAAATACGATAAATTACAGGCAATCCAAGAGTATTTTATTATAAGTCATGTTAAATATCTATATCCATCTGAATTAGACATAACCTCATCGCGAAAGAAAAACTGTACTGCGAAAAAAAACGTTCACGAATTTCTACACGTTCAGATTATTAAATTTATCATCAATTCAATTGCTAAAAAAGTGTACTTTCTATAATAAAGTGCTATTAGCGCTGCTTGTTATATTATCGGGATCATGAGTTTATTGCATAGCACTATTTTTATCACGATAATCGTAAATTGTAAGTGCTTTGGCGGCTCAATTTTGGATCAGGAATATTTACGCTCTCCCAATTCCAATTACCATGCGCTAAGTAGATATTGTGAATCATAGTATGGCTACTACAGTAATTCTCACTAGATATCAAGTTAGACTATGGGCTGTATTCAAATCGGTTTAAAAAAATGGTTGGCTATGCATAACTTGACTTGTAAGCTTTCCCTTCCCGGCAATGTCAATATGCCAGTGATAGTAGACACGGACAACGTATAAAATTAATCGCGTTTCATACAGTGTGGGACAAAAAAAACCGGGATTACAAATTTACACATTACGCAAGAACTAATCGTGCAAATGGGATGAAAATTATATCTTTGAAAGCTGAAACCAGCAGATTTTATTAAAAAAAATCAGTATGGAATGCGTTCTCCGTTATTTTCTATGACAGCGTTTCATTAATCATTAGAGCTGATTGTGGAATATCATCCCACTCTTCAACCATAAAACGCTAATATTTTGAGGCATTTTTTTTTCTATTGGATTTAGGTCAGGACTATTAGAAGGTCAGTCTATAACTTCAGGCATATTATTCCGAAGAAAATTTTTAGCGAGGTGGCTTGTATGTTTTGGGTCGTTGTCTTGTTGAAACCGCCGGGTCGTCGGGACCGAGGTCAATGTCTGCACTTGGAGAGAAACCTGCATTTAGGGAGAACCAGTAATATTGAATTCACGTGATACTATATAATAATATAATAAAATAAATCAACAAACAACAGACGTAAATACTAATGTTGCAGTGGTAAATACTCAAAACCGTTTATTGGGATTCTTTATTAAGAAAAAGACTGTTAGAGTTGAAAAACATTTACATGGATAGCATTGGGGTTACTGTCTTTGTATTTGAAAACAAGCAATTTTTGCTCGTTCGTTAATGTAGTTCTTTTAATTTTAGGCATTCTCTAAGAGATCAGAAGATTAAAGAGTGATAGCGACTGATCAGCAGTACTAGTACTTAAATGGAAATGATCTATAAATTTTAGATCATGCACTGGGGAGAATTTTTTACATATAAGGGCCAACAAATATCGTGCACTTATAGAATAGGCTTATCCCATACCCAACATGGGACCAGATTATTTCCTGCACTTAGAGAGATAATGCACTTAGGGATCATGCACTTAGGGAGAGTCCACTGTAGTTTACACCGGAGTATGTCTACATAAAATTTTGCATCCATTATTTCTGAAAAACAGTATAAACTTGTTTTACCATTTATGCAGAGGGAAGATCTTGTTCGATCCTTCGGCATACAACGTGTAGGTGGTTGTCCTTTATGCCAGCGCTCTACAGTATTAGGCTGAAATGCAGTCTCATCCGTAAACAATGTATTATCCCAATCATCATTAAGATGATTTTGAGCCCACTCTACACGCCGATGTTTATGATTTTCAGTCAACATTGGTGTTGCTCTTGGAAGGCTTTTTTGATAACCGCTTTGCTCCAAATGCCTTCCTACTGTTCTATAAGATACATCCACTCCACTCGAAAGTAACATTGTTGCTAATGTCCTTGTAGAAATAGATGAATCTCCCGAACATATTGAGCTAATGCTCTTGATGCATTGGTACTTAAGGCTTGAATGGATTCCTTACGAAAAGATTACCAACGTAGAACAAACTCAAATTGACAACGTCTATTATGCTATTCGCAAATATTCGGCATATCGTAAACCGATAACGTTAGTATTAATCGGAAACAGCGAAGAACACCAACACTTGTGAGTGAGGTTGCACGTATATACTCACTTCCGACACACAAGCACAATAATGTTAACGATAACTTTAAAAGATATTTCAAATGGCTTGCGAGTCGCAACAAACGCGGGAATGCATTCTTTTATATTGCGTCTTTATTTAAACAATGCTACATGATCTGATTGAAAAGTAATTATCCTTTTTGGCAAAAACCTAATTTCTGGGATATTAATATGGGAGACGGGCCGTTTAGTTACTATTTGCAATAGATTAAAAAGATTAGGTCATATAAACATAAAACATGCTATTTCAATCAGGTCATATACAGTACAGTCAACATGTTAGGTCATAACATATGATGCACAGCATTAATGCACTAACCAACAAAGAATAGGTTAACTATAGCGATAGATAAAAATAACATGATACAGTCATACCTCGTTTATATCCCCACTTTGGGACAGAACTTTTTTGGGGATATATTCGAGGTGGGATACAACTG